TAAATCCATCCAGGATTTCATTGTTGCCTGTCAGGTGTGCTGGGCTTGTGTCAATGACAGAAGCAGTTTGGACAATTGTTTTTCCACATTTCAAAGCTTTAACATAAAATAGTACATGGTAACTGACAAAAACACATCCAGTGTTGAAAAGTTAGTTTCTTTTTTTTATTCGTACCTATCAAACTTTGGCTCACCTTTGTGCTCCAGCCTTCTGACTTTTTATTGTCAGGGCCTATCAGCTGTGCAGCACCAGTTTGTGAGTGGGTGATGCACAGGGGGTTCCACTCTTTATAAAATATTTTATCTTTAATACTCTTAGCTTAAATTAGTAGTGTTATCAAATACCTAGCCTTCTCAAATCTACACATGTCCACGGATCTACTTATTATGAAATTATTATGTAACTGCATAATAATACAGCATTACTGTCCAATAAACAGCATATGCATGTTGTGTTATTTCATCTGTCAATTTAGATGGTTCCGTTTGTGATCGGTTCAACACAAAAATAAACAATAATGAACAAGAGTCTGCTTCTAGACCTGCAGAAAGAGAGAAGAAGAAAAAACTAAACAAAAACAAAAAACAAACAAAAAATGGGACACAACAACAATACAACAAGATCAAGCTATCACTGCGTCAACTTGATGAAGAAATATATAATCAACATTGTTTAACTAAACAATCACACGATAATAAATCACCATGAAATAAGTGCCCACCATAGCCTTAAGACCTGTGTTGAACGTGCCCAAGTCCATACTTATGAGAGCACCATGTGAGCACCTGTGTGTGTACACGCGCTTGTTTATATAAGGTTTATCTATAGGAGCGTCCAATAGAGAGTGTGAGGGGTCACAGATCTGCCCCCTAAAGATGTGCAGGAGACGGAGAGAGCTCCAAGTCCCAGAGATCCAGGAGCTGCCCCGGAGCACAGGAACCCCAGGGAGACTGCAACCAGAAAAGCCCCCGCTCCCCTCGAGAGGCGCAGAGGATCGCCCCGGGGGGCCACAACCAGCAGCCGGCAGAGTCCCGGGAGATATCGGTGGCAAGCCCACAGGCCCGCCAGCAGCCTCCCACCCCCTAGCCGGCCGAGCCCGGGACCCAGCGACCCGGGACCCAGGGGCGACCAACCCCGCCGGGGACCCAGCAGAGCCCAGGGACCCAGACCCCACCAGGCAGCCACCGGGATTGGTCAGGCAGATGCCAAAAATCTTAAACCCCATGACCCGGGAGCCACGACCCAGGCAGACCAAGGCACCGCACTCCACACCAGGTGTGGCGGGGAGAGGGGAGACGAAGATCTATATCATCAAAAGAAGTCCCAGGAGAAGGGAGGAGTCAAAGGCCCCACCTGACATATACAGTCATACACAAACACAGTCACACACTCCCTCCCTCATGTTCACACATGCACATACAACCAAAGACTTACAAAAATGCGCGCCGGACACCCACTCATGCTCCCCATACACTTCCTATTCACTCTGGTCCCGGTACTGCTGCACATGGGGTACAACCATTACCGGTTCCCAGAGATCGATCCTTTCTGCTGGGGTGCTGATGAGCAGGCTCCCCCACCCAATGCTGAGCACAGCAACCCACCACCCCAGACCCCAACCGGATGGCTGGATCTCCCTCCTAGCCTCCAGCCCCAGGAAGCCAAGCGACAACAGAGGTGTGCTAAGACCCCTAGTCTCCCTCTGCCTGCTCCAATATAGTGTTAGTGAATGTTGAGGTGTATTCCATGGCTGTGGTGAGCGGGCAGTACGGGCATCGTCTGGCCTATGCCAGCTGATGCCACCACACCACCCCACTTGCACCCACAACCCTCAGTGTCTAAGTGCAGTTTAAAATTGGAAGTGGGTACAGGCCCTTGGGAGGAGGCAGAGAAATCCCCCTGCCAAATGCCGTTGAATGTGCTCACTCCCAAGGCCCTAAGTGTGTGTTTGCGTGGAATGTCATTGGTGGAAGTGTGTAAGGTGCAAATAAAATTGGGGAGCAGGTTGCCACAGGAATGCGGAAATGGGGTCCATACCCGCACTCCCTGACTTGTCCACCCCTCAAGGTCTTATGTGCATGTTTGTGTGATGATGTGAGGGAGCAGCAGGAGAGAAATGTGTGGGGATTGGGAGGAATCGCCTCACTGCGATCTTGATGTTAGCGCTCATCTTTCTCTTGGAGAAAGCCATTGATCTGTATGGGCAAGTTTTATTCTGATTATTTGATTTGAGTGACTGAAAACTAGTTAGAATTATAAGGCTGAGAGGAAATGATCTCTGCCTGCCCAAAAGCTTCTCTGAATCTGGCGCCCTGGTAGCCTTCAGCTGCGAAACGAAAAAAAAACTCCACTAAGTAATGCAGACAGATGCTGTGAAACCCACTCTACCCCCTGCCTTCGGATTGGTGGTCTAGCCTGGCAAGGTCACCAATGGAAGGAGTCAATGGTCTCTCCACACCCTCGATCTCCCTCCCACCTACGTACAACAGTGATCAAGCGCATGCACTGAGGCTGCGGCTCTCTCTGGGGGAAACAGGTTCCCGGCCTTCCCCGCACCTACCCATCAGAGTCTCATGACTGTGAACTGTCTGATGTTTTTGTGCTTATATGTTGAGGTTGAGGTGAGGTTGTCATTTCTCACTCCTCTGTTTTTACCCCTTCTGTGTGAGAGGAGTTGTTTTGCAGCATCTGGCTCCTCCTGCACTTGTCCGGCTCCACGCTGAAGCTGCCAGCTGGTGGCAATGGCAATCTGCAGCTGAATGAGGACTCACTAAATAAAAGCCATCCAGCCCTCATCATCAGGGAGCAACAGGCTGGAGATGTAATCTCTGTCCTGTTGTCTTGTTGGTGGTCTTTGCTTTAATTCTTTTAGCTAATTTGTGTTCTGTGTGTGCAGGGGTTTCCTTGATTATTGGTTATTTTGTTTTACCATTTTCGTTGCTGCCAATTAGTCCATTTGTGTTAATTAGTCTCTGTTCATTTATTTCCCTTTTTTGTAAATAAATGTGTCTAAGTTAACCTTTTAACACCTGAGCATGTGCCCACCTTTCTGTCCACCTTTCTGCAACACTAGATTATCATTTCTCTATAAAACTTCAACAATTGTGGAATGGGATGGAATAGAAGGTTCTGCTTGCTGTAGGGGGCACGGTATGCAGCGCCTTTGTTTTCATTTAAAGACACTGCCCCACAACAACTCTCCTCAGAACAGGAGTAGAGGAAGGGCCGGAAGGAATGCAGGCCTAGAAACTGCAGTTTCATTGTATATGGACCACAACTGAATGATGTAGGCCCATTCTCAATACTCGCACTGCGCCCTGCAGTCTTCAGCAAAGCTCACTTGGAGAAAGTGCGCTGTAAGGCTTCGAGTGCATAGTACGCAAGAATTGAGACAGGGAGCATTGCGTCCTCAACCACAACGCATGCCGGGATTCTGGTCGTTGTGATACTTTTAAAAAAACCTTTATTAACAACTTTCAAAAAAACAACCGATTATTTGAAATAAATTTACATTCATTGTTGCTTTGTCTAAAAGTTTTAGAGCATCAACTAATCATTCTAAATTAACAACTTTCATTAGAAAATACATATTTTCAAAAAAGGCACTTCATTCTTTTCTCCTGTAGCAATGGATTGTGGGTAAGACCCTTCACTAAAGTCTGCATTGCTGCAGACTTGGGTAAAGTGCGGATCAAGGTTGCAAAAGGGGCGTTATCAACTTCCGCATTTGAAAATCAAGACAGCCTACGCACTTGCACCCCTGGTCGGGATCAGGCAAATGAAAAGTGCAAGGGTGGAAGTGCGAGTATTGGGATTGGGTCTTAGATGAAAAAAGGAAGACGTTTTGGCTTGCTTTCAGCACCCCCTAGTGTCCATTAATAAAACAAAAAGTAAAACTTATCTCCTCGCTGTGCATTCATCTTTTTAACACCTTAATCTAGCTGCTGAAATGTCTCCTCAACCTTCATTAGTTCTACAGGAGTGACAAATCACTGAATCAAACAAATCAACAGCGTTCATGATCTAAAACTTACAGGAAACATGCTGGAAGCAGACTGCAGCACCAGGTATGTCAGCTCCACTTTACTAAATTTAACAAGGATTGGTCACTGGACCAGCAACTCTAAAGTTTCAAGTGCAATATTCTGGTCACAGGGGGCGGTGGGGGTCTGAGAGACATTTCATCATCCTTGTAAAGGGTTATTTTAGCACATACTGGCTCAAGGGATATTAAGCAGTTTGGCTTGCTTTTAGCACCCCCTATTGTCTGTTTAGTAAAACCAAAAGGGAAACGTATCTCCTTGCTGTGCATTCGTCTTGTTAACACCTTAATCTAACTGCTCAAATGTCTCCTCAGCCTTCATTAGTTTCTACAGGAATGGTAAAAAAAGTCATTTTAGCACATCCTTGCTCAACAAATGATTTAAAAATCTGAAAATGTAGCCTAGTATGCCTTTAAAAGCATGAACTGTCCAATTTAAATGTAAAGTAAACATATATTACTTTTTACATTTGAGCAACTAGGTTTAATGGAAACAGTTCAAATAACTTGGTTCAGTAGATTTAACTTTTCATTTCTTAGAGTGTTGTTGATGTCGGCACCAGAGGAACCCTTTTACTCAGTTTGATCATTACAGCAGCATTCATTCAGTGTTTTTGTCGTTGTCAGGCAGATAACTGTTTTACAGTTTTGACTGGTTTGTTCAGATCAAACAGTAAAACAGTTTCACTAACTAATAATGATGCTGAAAACTACCAAGTGTGAGAGCATTTTAAGAGTGGATCTTATGCCATATTAGGATCAAAGCTGCTTGCTTGAACCTATTAAGACAAGAACTTCAGTCAAATAATGCCAGTCCGTTAACACAAAAGCTGACTGGATTTCTCATCTGATGATGAAGCTTTCTGTTCAAAGTAATGGAGGGGAGTCTAAAAAGGGTCATGTGTTGAGTGGGACCAGACACTCTTATCTGAGTAAGACACAAACAGCTGCTCTCACCATCCAGTGACAGCCAGTCGTGTTGCGAAGACGGCAGGGCAGGAAGGTCTCGTGCTTTATATTCAAACACCACAGAAGAAGAGATGACCTCACCACCCATGGCCACCTGCAGCATCACTAGTCCTGTGTCATGAGCTAGAAAAAGACAAAAACCAGGTCATGAATATGTGGCTGTGCGTGGAGTTTGTGTTTACCTTTTGAAGTGTTTCAAATTACAGATAATTTCTATTTAACAGAAAACACATAAGAACTTCACATGTGAGATTCCAATTTAATGTCAGGTTAAATTAACACTTAAAACACAGACTTTTCATTTTTCCAGTTTGACTTTGTAGAATTTATCAGCTTGCAACCCCTGGTTTATAAGATCACATGTGATGAAACATGTCAAGTTCATTTCATTCAATTCAACAAATAAAAGGAAACTTTATTAAATCATAACACCTGCTCTTATAGCACATAATGTTAATGAGTGACACTGGAAGAAACACATCTTGTACATAACTGCCCGCTTCGCTGTTTTCATGGCCGTGTTCATTAAAATAATCTCAATTGTAAACAATATCAAACTCTTAATTGTTGACTCAAAAATACATAAGATTTCTTATTTTTGTCTTTATGAAGTGTTGTGTCAATACATTTTGTTCCAGAAATTTGCTCCATTGAAAAACATGTGTGTTTAAATGAAGTATGAACAGTTGTACTTCTGTTGTTTACATGGCTTTATCTTCAAACAGAAAGTTTTATAAATTTATTGGCAATAGTGATGCACCAATATGAAATTTTTGGGCCGATACAGACATTAGATATTAATATCACTGTTATGGCCGATAACTAATATTTGCCAATACCAATATACTGACATTAATGCTTCTAAAATCATCAGATTTTGTATGGATTGAAAATTGTTAAAGCTGAATTTGTGTTATTATGTACACACCACACACATTTATGCTTCTGAGATGATTACAATCACTGTCACATGACTAAACAAATACACATCGCAGTAACGAGCAAAATTCAAGATCCTGCTACTGGTGTACATGGCACTTCAAGGCACTGCTGTCAGCACTACTGCATAGGCATGTCCTGTCCTGGTCTCTTCACCTGAAGGAGCAGGGGCTGCTGGTGGTCCCCCGCTCCAAATACAGATCAAGGGGGATTGCCCATTTGCAGTTCTGGCTCCAGTCCTCTGGAATGAGTTGCCTTGAAGCATTTGGCAGGCATCATCGCTTGAAGTCTTTACATTTCACTTAAAGACTCAATTTTATCTGATGGCATTTCAGTGACAGGGATGACTCTCTGCCAAGGATATGAAGAGGACATCAATGCCATGACTGGATGTGTCACTGACTACATAAACTTCTGTGTGGGCAACATCATACCCACCAGAACAGTGATATGCTTTGCTAATAACAAACCCTGGATCACCAGTGAACTGAAGAATCTGCTAAATGAGAAAAAAGAGCCTTCAAGGAGGGAGACAGGGAATTATTGAGGAGTATACAGAAGCAACTGAAGATCAAGATCAGAGACAGCAAGGAGGCATACAGGAAGAAGCTGGAGAACAAACTACAGAGGAACAAAATCAAAGATGTCTGGTCAGGGATGAAGAAGATCACAGGCTTCAAGCAGAGGAAGGATTCCACAGATGGCAGCTTGGACACAGCCAATGAATTGAACAAGTTCTTTAATAGGTTCAGTTCAGGAACAAACCCAGCATTCTCCTCGCCTGTCCCTAGCCAATCAGACATCCCATCCTCCTCTGATCCAACATTTTCCTATCACACGCCAGCTCTTTTGTCCTCTAACGTAGTCATGGACTCTTCTGCTTCTATAAATCTGTCTTCAACCAAGTCAGGAGATGCTGGTGCCCCATTTACCTCCCTCTCCCACCTATCTGTCTCTAGAAGTCAGGTGAAGAGGCAGCTGGAGAGACTGAACAGGAACAAGGCTGCAGGTCCAGATGGTGTCAGCCCCAGAGTACTGAAGGCCTGTGCAGAGCAGCTCTGTGGGATTCTGCAGCACCTCTTCAACCTCAGCCTGGCCCAGGAGAAGGTTCCAGTCGTGTGGAAGACATCCTGCCTTGTTCCAGTTCCAAAGAAAGCTCGCCCATCAGTCAATGACGACTACAGACCGGTTGCCCTGACATCCCACATCATGAAGGTCCTGGAGAAACTCCTGTTGGTCCACATGAATAAGCAAACTAGGACATATCAGGACCCGCAGCATTTTGCTTGTCGCCATGGAGTTGGAGTTGAAGATGCCATCATCCAGCTGCTTCAACCAACCCACTGTCATCTGGACAAAGCAGGCAGCACTGTGAGGGTCATGTTCTTTAATTTCTCCAGTGCATTTAATACAATACAGCCTGATGTACTTTATCAGAAACTCCAGAAAACACAAGTGGGGCCTCAACTATCGCCTGGATTAAAGACTACCTGACAAACAGACCACAGTTTGTGAGGCTGAAGAACTGCACATCAAACCAGGCGATCAGTAACATTGGAGCACCACAACAGACTGTACCATTCCTTTTCACCCTGTACACCTCAGACTTCCAGTACAAATCAGAGATCTGTCATCTACAGAAATACTCAGATTACTCTGAAGTCGTCGGGTGTATCAGAGATGGGCAGGAAGCTGAGTACAGAGAGCTGGTGGAGCGCTTTGTGGCATGGTGTGGAAACAATCATCTGATCTTGAACGTGAACAAAACAAAGGAGATGATTTTAGACTTCAGAAGAAACAGGGTGGAGTCAAACACTGTTTCCATCATGGGAGAAGAAGTGGAGGTGGTTGAGGAATACAAATACCTTTGAGTTCACCTGGACAACAGACTGGACTGGAGAAAGAACAGCGAAGCTGTTTACAAGAAGGGACACAGCAGACTGCACTTCTTGAGGACGCTTAGGTCCTTCAGTGTCTGTAGCAAGATGCTGCAGATCTTCTATAAGTCTGTTGTTGAGAGTGTAATCTCTTCAGCCATCGTCTGTTGGGGTAGTAGTATCAGAAGCAGGGACCTGAAAAGGCTCAACAGCCTAATAACAAAGGCTGGTTCTGTTCTGGGGACGACTGTGGAACCACTGGAGGAGATAATGCAAAGAAGGATTCTCCAGAGAATCAAGAAAAGTATGGACACCCCCTGAGCATTCTCTTCACAAGACTGTCCGACAACAGAAGAGTGTCTTCAGTCAGAGGCTTCTTCAGTTTGGCTGCAACACTGACCGCTACTGGAGATCCTTCCTGCCAACAGCCATTGTAATATACAATAACTCTTTGATGACTTGATTATTATTATTATTCTGAGCTACTACAGCAATCAATTTCCCTCTGGGAATAATAAAGTATTTTTGAATTGAATTGAATCCTAGTATTGCCTCGATTTGTTGTTGTTTTTTATCTCGTTTAAAATGTTTTTTAGGGATGCAACGATACCCCTTTTTTCAAAACCGATACGATACTGATACTTGGATCTGAGTACTCGCCGATACTGACTACCGATACCGATACTTCTACCACACAAAAAATGCATTGATTTGGAATACAGATTTTATTTTCTTCTCTACTTTCAACAGAAAAAGACTGTGAGGTAGATAAAAAGTAAAATATATTAATAAAACTCATCACAAAACTAAAATATTAGGTGAACAGAAATGACAATTTACAGTGAAGCCATTTTCAAGCAACTGAATTAGTATTGGTTCCTGGTATCAGTTAAATTTTACCGATACCAACACCAGTGGGGGGGTGGGGAGGGGAGGGGAGGCCATCTCCAGCGGTCAATGGGCAATCAGGTGGGGTACACCCTGGACAGAGAGCCAGTCCATCGCAGGGCAACACAACCTAACAGTCATGTTTTTGGACTGTGGGAGGAAGCCGGAGTACCCGGAGAGAACCCATGCATGCACAGGGAGAACATGCAAACTCCATGCAGAAAGATCCCAGGCCGGGAAGCGAACGCAGGACCTTCTTGCTGCAAGGCAACAGCTCTAACCACTGCACCACTGTGCAGCCTTGTTTTTAATCAATGACATTTAAATGTTTTATGCTTGTTTTAATTGTTTTCTTATCTTTATTTTAAGATTCCAAGACACCATATTTGTTCTTATCATGTGACTGTATGATTGTGTTCAGCATCTGGGCTTCTGATGAGGTTGTTCAAGGTGCTTTACAGAATACACCGAACTGAACTGAACACACTTTGATCTCAGCTAGCTGTTTCTGCAAACAGAGGCTCTTCTATACTGAGTAAAATCTGCATCTCTAAACAACCTATTACTGTTTGCAAATAAACATTCATGCAAAAAACTTACTGAGAGGAGTTGAGTGTGATAAGGTGTGTTTTGTATTTTGTGTGATATGGGAGTGGATCATATGAAGGTGTGTCACCTGGGCAGTAGCAGCGCAGCACCCCGGGCTGGATCAGGGCAGCAGGAACACTGATGTGGTCAAAGAGGCAGCTATACTCACTATTTGACTCCAACCATGGACCTGTAATCAGAACCTTCACCCCTCCCTGAAGAACACATACAAAACATTATGATCACAAGGGAAATCTCTTAAAAAATGTGCACTAATACAAACTCCATTAGTGTCTAAGACATCTATTATGAACATAGGAATCTAAATGATTTAAGAAACCAAACTGAGCGGCATCATGAGCTCGTGGCAGACCCTAGAGGCTGTGTTGTTCTTCACATCCAAACAGAAAAATGAATCTTGAACTGTCTGATTCGCAGTGTCATGTGTTCACTCCAGCATAGCCAAACATATTCTGACCCCAGAAGAACACAGAGTCCTCTGTGAATAAATAAGTCATGAATTTATGAAAGTGCAACACTAAAAAAGGTTACAATAGTGGGGTATGTTTATGGTTGCCATATGCGGTTCATTTTCTAGATTATGGTGTTCACTTTTTAGACTTTTCAGGTTTTTATTTTTTCCATTTTAAACTAGAAACGATGTAATCCTGCTAGGAAGCTGCAGTAATATGTGAGCAGAATTTAGCTATTACAATCCCCGAGTGGCACTTTTTAAAAATGATGGTGTTAGGATGCAAGTTTGCCACAGGTTTAATCATAATTCAATGACAGAACCGCTGCCTGAGCTATTAGAAGTGGTACATGAGAAAATTAATGAGTCCACCCAGGGGAATCAGGGAAATATTGAAATTTCATTCAAATTCAATCAGCTGAGTGTGAAATATTTGGCCTCCTTAATGCCTACACACTGTAACCAAGCTGTCTGTACAAACTGGGCTAAGTGTGATTTCAGTGGTTAACGTCACTACAAGCCCACCATCAATCATTAGCTGCATGGACTAATTTTCCTGTGGGGAACAGTGATGGGTAAATAATGATTACAAGTTACTAACCTCTGGATAGGACCACTCAGGGGAGTAGTCTGTCACACCAAACAGTCTGCCCGTCTCATGGAGGAGTCCCAGCGCTCCCTGCTCCACCTCTGAGCCCTGCAGGTGGCCTGCTCCTGCACCCTGCTCCTCTCCTGCTGCCCCTTCCTGGGGCATCAGAACCCCAGAGACAGCTGCCCCCACCCCACCCCCAGACCCCTCCACTGAGATGAAATCATTTATCAGATCGGAGAACTGGCTCCCGAACGAAGCCTCGAATCCTTCCAGACTGATGGCTGCTCCTGCCCCTGCTGATGGGGCGGACACCCCTACTCCTTGCTGAGGGAGAGGAGAGCTATAGAGCCCCCCCTCGATGTTTGCACCTGCAGCTATTGATTGAGGACTGGCCCCCACTGAGCTGCTGGCCCCTGACAAGCCTACGCCATTACATATGATTTCATTTTCCACTCCTCCTCCTCCTTCGCCACCTCCTCCACCATTGTCACCCCCTCCAGTGTCTTCTGTGGGCTGGAGGTAATGCTTGGTGTCAACACTTGTGTAGGTCTCATGAGGATCCTTGAGGAGTAACTCTTCTCCATTTTCAGCAGGTTTGTCTAACACCCCCACCTGCTGATGGCCCCTGCTGCCCGACTGTTCCAAGGAGGTGTCCTGTGTCGCCATGGGAAACGAGCCCACCACTGCTGCCTGACCATTCCTTGCACATAAAGCCTGCTGGTCGGTGCTGGCTTGGTGGAGGTGAGTGTGCAGATCTCCATTGGTGACAGGTGAGTCAGCTGCCACCGGGGGCAGGCCTATATAAGCCCGGGCCTCACCAGATTCTTGGGGTGCCTTCGTACCGTTGGTTTGAAGCTGAGTGGGCTTGCTCGTTTGGGAGGAAGTTTGGAGGAAGATGCCTGGGGAAGAGTGGTGCCCAGGCTGGGTCAGACCTGAGACACAGGCTGATGACATGACAGCACTGAAGTCCATCTGTTCCAGGGTGGTACTGGGGCTGAGCCCGGCTCCCTCTCCCACATAGCCGCTCTGGGTGGTCAGCGGCTGCTCCAGAGGTGTAGCTTCAGTCTTGATGTTGTTGACCAGGGCTGGGTTGTAAACAAAGCCATTGGAGGAGCAGTGGAGTCCTCCATCTTCACTGTTACAACCCTCCGTCTTCCCTCCTCCGCCATAAGTCTGACCCTGCTTGGGGTTGTTGAGGAAGCAATCAGGGTCAAAGGTCATGGTGGTTTCAGGAAGGCTGACACCAACGCCAGTGTCCAAAGAGCTGGACAGAACCAACTCCCCTCCCTCCCCTAAGCCTACACCTCCAGGAAAAGATGCAAATCTCTGGTTGTCCGGGGCAACAGCTAACAGAATACCAGTAGTGGTGCTCTCATGGGTGGATGCCAGCAGTTGTGTGTGGCCAGCAGAGTAGACCGAATCCCCAGTCAGTGTGGTGACTTCAGACATAAACACCGCAGTGCTCTGTGATAATCCCGCCCCGATGGCAAGAGCAGGGCTGTCGGCCATGTCACTCGTTATCGACAGTGGGGAGCTCTGGGTGGTGTCGGGTACCTCCACCTGGTTGGTGGAGGTAGAAGACGACACCTCCATGCTGCTCTGTGGGAGTAAGGAGGGTTTGGTTATCCTGCCATTCCTCCTCTCTCCTCCACCTGCTCTGCTCCTCCCCCCGCCAGGATTGGGCTCGGTCTGGCCCTCGGACACGTCGCTGTTCTGGACCTCTGTGCCATCTGCTTCCTCAGCTCTCTGGCCCGCTGCAACGCCGGCTCCTATAGTTGTTCCACCTCCTACTGCTCCTCCTAACTCCTGCTTGGATGAGATGATGCGCTGCTTGACACTGGAACATTTCTGATGCAGGCTGCTCCCAGCACCTGGCAGATGAAACATCAAAACAACAAAAGCTGCATTTATGATGACGCACACTGATTTTATATTCTAACCTTCTGTTTTCTCGGGCCAGCGTTTAAGTATAGGAACATTACCTCACACACATTTCACAGCAAGTGATAGCACGATTCAGTGTTCAGAATTTATATTAGCTCATGATTGATCTGATGCACTGGCACAAACAGACACACATCGTAAACTACTTTGCACACATATTCTTCTTTTAAACTCATGAAATCCAAAGTAGATTTTTTAAGGGAAATTTTAATTTATTGTTCGAGTTTTAAGCTGTTTCATTTTAGGGGGTTTCACCTCCCAACAGCAGCAGAAGGATTAAGTCAATGATAATTTAACAAAGAAGATGTCCTTATTTGGCCTTTCAGACATAATCAAAGAATGAGTGAAATTACATAAGTGTGTGTGAGTTTGAGTACCGTCTCTTGTCATCTGTCATGCTTACATTTCTTTGGTCTGCCTCTAGGTGGCAGCATGGTACTGACTGCTAGATCATCAAACAGAAGCAATCCACAGAATTATTTGGTTCAACCTAGTTGAATGGCACCTATCTACTGATTTAGTTGCATATTTTTAAATTAGAATCATTCCATGATGTAATGTTATAACATGTAGACATATATCATTTTGGAAGCCAATTCAAACATGTTTCAAAAATTTGTATTTCTTTGGAGGTTTCATTTCCATTTATTCATTTCACTCTGTATGCATAAAAATCTGTAATCTGACTGGTTGGGATTAGACTTTTTTTTAAATCTGAGAATAAATGAAATGATTACATATTTTAAATTATCTGTGAAGACCTCCTTATGTCACTTTTAAATATTTCAGACAGGCAAACAAATTTCAGACAAATGTAACCCAAGTAAATACAAAAGCATCCATCCATTCATTTCCCCTCGCTCATCCAGGGTTGGGTCGCCTAAGCCAAAGCAGAGAGGCCCAGACTTCCCTTCTTCAGCCACTTGGGCCAGCTCCTCTGGGGGAACCCCAAGGCGTTCCCTGGCCATACTCCCTCCAGTGTGTCCTGGGTCTTCCATAGGTCTCTTCCTGGTTGAACCTGCCTGGAAAACCTCACCAAGGAGGCATCCAGATGAAAGAACCACCTCAACTGGCTCCTATCAATGTGGAGGAGAAGTGGATCTACTCCAAGCCACTCCCGGATGACCGAGCTTCTCACCCTGTCGCTAAAGGCTAATTTATACTTGCATTGACAGAGATCGGTTCCCTTCAGACTTCAGACCTGGGCTGATGGAGAAGCGGGTGAATGGCAATATTTTCTGATTTTTTCTGTGAGGCATTCTTCAATCTGTTCTGTGACTTTTGCTAAATATCTTTATATTTTTGAGAGGGCAATGGCAAACTTAAAGAAAGAGGCGTCCTGACCAATCACAAGCTTGTGGCATCCTGACCAATCACTTTCGAGAAATAGTTACAAAGTTGGGCAAGCCTTTGTCCATCCTTGCAAGCCTGCTGCAGCCTCCTTAACATGTGTGACCAAGCAGTGTTATGCTAAATGCACAGCATTTCCCCCATTCAACCAGCAAAATAGAATACAGAAATATAATTTTACTTACTGGTAAAAATGAAGCAGAGACTTAGCATAATCAATACCACAGCTTTCCCTCTTTGTCCAAAGAATTCCATGGTTTACATCCAAACACAAACACACAGAGGACACAGGTAAAATTCAGAGAGTCGAAATGGCCGAACATCTTCCAACGTGAGGCAGAGGCTGAGGCCTTCTCCGGAGCTAGCCACTAGCGGTAGCTCTGACACTCATGCTGCCTGTAAATCTAATCTAATTATTCATAATTTCAAGCATTTAATTGCACCTACACAGAAGAGCTACAAAATGTTTTACCCCCTCAGAGCTGTCATGTATGTAAACTAGATTTATTAAACCTAAAGTGTTTTTTGAACCAGGGTGTAAACATGTTTGTTTCTGCTGTGAAGTTAGCATTTTTAACATGGGAGTCAATGAGGATTTGCTCACTTTTGGTGCCAGCCCCTAGTGGATGAGGGCGGAACTGCAAATGTTGGCACTTCTGTGTTGGCTTCATGATTTTTACAGGATTATGGGGGCGTTGGTCGAATGCCTTCCTCAAATCCACAAATCACAGATTGGTGGGCGAACTTCGCGGCACTCTCCAGGACCCCCCTAAGGGTATAAAGCTGGCCCAGTTTTCCACGGCCAGGACGAAAACCACATAGGGAACCTAAGCCATGCCCATCTACTTCCAGACCATGGGTCCCCGGAAGAAAGAAAAAATGAATGCAAGTCAGGTTTTGTGTGAAAATAAGTCCAGGACTACAAATGCGCTTCCCGAAAAGGATGCCATCGAACCAGACACGGAGAAAAACAGAGAGAAAATTTCTAAGTTCAGCAAACTTCAAATCCTTCCCACAGGAAGAAAGAACCACCATGAATCTGGCCATGTGGTAAGTAACAGCTACACTAGGGGAGAGGAGATTATGTGACGTCACATATGCATCATGCTGATGTCTAGTTTGTAGTCATGCTAATTACAAACTTTTACAAGCTGATACATCTCAAAGTATGTGACTGGCATAGTCAAAACACCCATCCTTACTTTTGATTTCAATTGAAGTACAGCATACGTGTGATCCAGGGCATAACGCTAACCGGACAAAAAAATAGCTTATTTAGCCCCGTTGATTTGCATTCATTTTTTCATTCTTCCGGGGACCCATGAGCCAACGGGAAGGGGAAGAGACTTAGGCTCCCTATTGCTTCTCCTGAATCTGACGTTTGACTATCTGCCAGACTCTCCTCTCAAACGCCCCTGAATAGACCTTACCAGGGAGACTCAGAAGTTTGATCCCTCTGTGCATGAAACACCCTGCGGTCCTCCTTTTTAAATAGGGGGACCTCCACCCTGTCTGCCAATCCAATGGAACTGCCCCTGATGTCCAAACAATATTGTAGAGTCACCTCAAACAACATAGCTACACAACATCCAGAGCCTTAAGGAACTCCAGGCAGAGCTCACCCACCCCTGGGGCTTTGCCACAGAGGAGCATTTTCACCACCCCAGTAACCTCAGCACCAGATTAAGAAGAGCCCAACCCAGTCTCCAGACTGCTTACACATGCTGGTGGGATTGAGGAGGTCTTCGAAGTACTCCGCTTATCAATCCACTACGTCCTGGGTTGAAGTCAGCAACAGACTGTCCCTACTATAAAACAGTGTTGCTTTCCCTTCCTGAGATGCAGGATGGTGGACCAGAATTCCCTCAAAGCCATACCAAAGTCTTTTGTCATGGCTTCACCAAACTGCTCCCACGTCCAAGTTATTGCCTCTGTGACCAACAGACCTGCAGTGCTTGAACTACCAGTACCTATCAGTTACCTCTAGAGTCCCACAGGCCAAAAGGACCCAACAGGACTTTCTTCAGCTAGACAGAATCTCTAACCGCCAGTGTTCTCCAGCGGGTTCGAGGGTTACAGCCACTACGGGCACCAACCACCCTGCAGCCACAGCTCAAGTTGGCCACCTCGGCAATAGGTACATGGCCCACTTCGACTCAATGTCCCTCGCCTTCCCCGGGACGCATTCAAAGCTCTGTTGGAGGTGGGAATTGAAGCTCCTTCTGCCAAGACTCCGCCAGACGTTCCCAGAACACCCTCACACTACGCTTGAATATCAAACCATCAGCAAACCATGAATTCTGCTGTCTACCAGAAAATCCTGGATCTGACCTTTGACCTTAAACGTGTAGTTTTAACTAGAAAACTTTCCAAAATCCCTCCACAGTGAGAGAGGCATTACTAGTTATCACAAATGTTACATGTTATATATGTTATACATATGTTATACATGTTATACACGTTATATATGTTGTACATATGTTTTACATGTTATACATTGTATACTGTACATGTTACATATGTTATACATGTTACATATGTTATACATGTTATACATGTTATACATATTATATATGTTATACATCTGTTATACATGTTATACATGTTTATATATGTTATACATATGTTATACATGTCATATATGTTATACATGTTATACATGTTATACATATGTTATACATGTTATATATGTTATACATATGTTATACATGTTTTATATGTTATACAACCAGTTCCTGGGTTTTGTGATCAAATTTCTCAGTTTTATAAACGATCCTCTCAATTAAAGAAATCTCCATTTGAAAACTACGTCACTATCCGCTCAGGTTATCTTTGTCCAACACTGAAATTATTTTCTGATCGGAAACATTTATTTGTGGCAAAAGAAAAGAAATCTGTAAAAGGTTATATAATTCATCACAGAATTGTTTTTACTCAGGATATTTTATTCCCAAGCGACTTTATTGTAATGACCTCCAACTAATAAAAAACTCTAATTAAAATAATCTACTGATTGATTTTCTTCATTAATTACGTAAAGTGACGTTAATTTGAAAAATAACCAAAAATAAGAAAATATGGGGTTTATCAAAGCTTTGAGAATAAACTTTCCAGGTGTTTACATTTATATTTATGGGAGAGGTTTGCAAAAATATATAATAATAAATAATGACTTAAACATTATTAGATGAAGCAGAAAAAGTAATTTATACATTGATGAAATATTACGTTGTATAACTTTTAAATAACTGAAACAATTAGATATATATAGCAAAGACAAAAGTACAATATTTTGTCATGGAAAGTCTCATAATGAAGAAAAAGTCTAAAACTTCTTAGAAAAAATGGAAATAATCAGGAAAACTTGGTTTTAATTTTAGATTTGTTAAAACTTTTTTCTTTGTTTAATTAAAAAAACTAACTTCTGAGCAACTAATTATCCAAAAACCATGTTTGTTTTTCTTGTTTCTGATATCCCACTGATACCAAACAGTAAAATAAAATTAAAAATCAACTTTAAGGAAAAGCTTGGGTCTCAGAAGGTTAGGTTTAATAAATTTGGATTGAAGTAAATGTAATGAGTTACATTCCCCTGTACTAAACCTAAGTATTATTGACTAAACTAAAGGAATTTCTTCCATTCATTCAGACTCAACATTATTTCAAGTTAAGATAAGCTTGTTCCATTTGTTATTTTGACTTTAATTTCTAAACTCTCCAGTCACAACAGAAAGCTCATATGTTTAATTTCAGTCTAAGTGTTTTATTTCTTCTACTTTGAGTTTTCCATTAAATTTTTTTTAAATTCAAATGGTTGTTAGTTTTCTAAATTAAGATA